CTGAAGACAAACAATGTTGTGCCGTCGATCTGTAAAAAAAGTGTTTTTTCTTCCTTTTTCAAAAAACAAACTAGTTATAAGTCTTTGGCTTGTTCGGTGCATCCACCATTTATGCAGTTAAGTTTAAAGTAGCCTTCTTTGCAATAGATGGTAATATTTTTACTCTTAAATACTCGTTACTTGTTGATTCATATGTTTGTTTGTTTGTTTAAAGTCTCTGTGTCTCACTTTAAAAGGAAAATGCTAATCAACGATGCCAATTGGCATAAACCCGTAGATCCGATCTTGTGTTGAAACGTACTGCACAAGCTCGCTTCTATGGGTCTGTGTCAGTATGGTGATCTGGCAAAAGTTTATGTAGCACGCAATGCAGTGGTATTTGACAGCAAGCCCAAGTGACTGTACAAAACTATATATTGTTTTTGGAATGCTTCTGTTGTCCTTTGCCTTATCTTCAAACTTGATTAAGTGATTTTTTCTTTTATCGGTTGCTTTAAGCACCTTTGGCTTAACATCTTATTAAAATTTACAAAGAGATGTGAGGGAATTGTAGGGTTTCCAGTGAGGGAGAGTAGGATATACCATTTGCTGGCTTTATTAAATATACCGTTACATGATATTACATTCAAAAAATGTAGAAAAAACAAGACAAGATTTATATTTTATTTTTATTGTAAAATAAGACCAAATGGTCATTTCTTTCCAGAAATGTAGTTGGACTTGCATCATTCATATCAAATATGTATGTATATATATACACATAAAACTCACATGTATATATCTTTATACATATGAAACAGGGTAGAACAGAAATTCTACCTCTGCAGTAGAAAAATCTATCTAAGAATATGCCTTATCGTCTGAAAAGTGGGGAATAACTGCAGTTGAAAGCCTACCCCCATGGGAAATATATAAGCCTGTGGCTGCTGTCACATTTCAAAGAAAGGCTGAAGAAGTGAAGAAGACTTTATGGTCACCGTCGGAAGCTGTGTGCATCCGGGTTGAGGTAGTAGGTTGTATGGTTTAGAGTTACACCCTGGGAGTTAACTGTACAACCTTCTAGCTTTCCTTGGAGCACACTTGAGCCATCGAGGAATTCATCAACACTTTAATATGATCAGGGAAAGTATGCAAAAAGGTATTGTGTCATGGCTGTACATAATAATCACTCTGAGGCTTTATTGATGTTGAAATAGTCCTGATTATTTGATTATTTCATTTACTTCCTGTTATGAACAATGCTAACATGTTGTCTTAATGGACTGTGACTACGTACTGCAGACACTTAAGGGAAGACTGATGATGATTTTAATTCCATTAACAGGAAAGCTTTAAAAGTTTATTTTGATTTATAAATTCAGAAAAATATCAAGTATTTAACACTTTATGCTTTCTTCATAGAAATAGCTTATCCTACACAGTTGATTTTTGTCACTGTTGTTTTATAGGTGCACATTCTTTTTTTAAAGGGAAAACCCCAAATTTTTCTGTCCTTATAATACTTTCCAAAAAATATTGCATGCTGCTACTCGGATAGTGGCGGGCAGTGTCACAAGTTGATCCTGATCTTCCTTGGATTTATGATATTCTTTCTTTCTGCCTGCACAACTCAATGTTACGAACAGATCCAAATGACCTGCAGCCCTGCCTGTGTTTCCACCGTGTCGTGATTCATGTGCTGCTCAGCCTAATCCCACTCTGGGGTCTCAGCATCCATGTCCTTACACAGCATGTCAGCCTGACCCTGACCCACAATACCCTTGTCATTTTTGGCCCTGACTGAAGTTCTGACGCATCTTCCTAACTCAGCAGGACTTGGAGAAGTCCCATTCCCTATGCGAGTGGTTCCCAAAGCACTGGGCACTGCTGGCAGTGGCAGGTCCCAGCGCTGGGTGCCTCCACCCATGCGGGTTGGGTGCCACGGACAGAATTAGCTGTCCTCAGTCCCTGCATTGCTTGTACGTCTGGCACGCCTTTTTTAAAAAAGCAATACCAGAATGCACCAAGGCAAAAAAATGTGTATCTGAATAGGGAGACGAAGGCGTGCTTGTGGAGGTTTATGCCCCAAGTTGTGCATTCCTATTTCATGCTGGTTTTCAGTCTTCCTTATCTTGGAAAAAGAAAAAAATCCATTGAGATGTATACATCCCATAAACAGGCATCAAAGAGAGAAAAAATAGTGAGTGTTTTCACAGTTTAGCCATTCCCAGAAACAGTTATGAAACAAGAGGGAAAAGGACCGTGCCTGCATATCCACCATGATTTTTTAAGTGAGGCCTGCTTCTGAAAATGACCTTAAAGATGAGGTCTCCTCAGTGTGACGGAAGGCATTACTGCCAAAGTAGAAGCATCTGGACCAGACAGTGATGCTTATTCCAAAACAGCGGAAAAAACTGATGCTGTCTGTTGCCATGTACTTTTCCATAAGAAGTGAAAACGAGTAGAACTTAATAATTTATAATTAATAATAGTAATAATGATAATCTTGCTGGAAAATGATTTGACGTTTGGTGATATAAAGTAAAAGAGCTGAGCCATGCCCATGCGGTGCTGTGGTCAGGGGGACGCCACTGAGGTGAGCCGTGGGCACGCCAGACTCCCATGGACTGAGGAGAGGGTGAAACGTGGCTGTCCCACGCCGGGGTGAGGCCTGCGGTTCTAGAGCTCCCAAGTTAACAGCAATTAGGTCTTTCTCCAGGGTATTTTGAACCCCTGCATTTCTTGCTTTACTTTTGTTGCAGGTGACCATAACAAAATATTTGATATTTCCAATGTTTAATTGTTTTAGGTTTTGCATCAGCAAGGAAAGTTAAGGATGTTTATTTTAAGTGGGTTTGATACTTGCCTGTGTTCTGGTTATTGTTTTCCTTTCAGTTCTGCCTATTCAAAAAAATCACTTGCTTACAGGTCCCTATGTTTGACTCTTTCTACCTCAGCTTAAGGGTTGCCTAACCACTTTCCTAGATAAGGAATAAAAAGGAGATGAAAATGATTTAGTCTCTCTTTCTAATAGCATTTCTTTTCAGTGTTTAATGTTTGTAATAGGAAATTGGTAAAGAGGATCTGCATGACAGTTAGGTGGATGTACAATGGATTTTAAGCCTGTCTTAAAGTGTGTGGGAAAGAGGAGAGAGGAGGTTGAGTGAATCAGAGCTACTCCAAGCTAATGGAAAACGCTTAAGGGGGCAGCGGCTAAATTGGGGGGATAGAGAGGAGACCTCCATCAACCGATGAAGCTTAACA